TGGTAAAAAGGCCTCGCTATGCCGTCGGTATCAAGCCGGCATCGTATCGAGCTCGCACTGCGCGCCGGCCACCGCGGCAAGCGCTACGAGCTAGCACCGACCACCGGCGAGGCAAATAATGTGTTTCATTGAAAAATGAAAGCTGCTGGGATGTATAACAGTCTTCCGCGCCTTGCGACCGCAGCTGTCAATGACTAACTACAAGGCGAGCGCCGAACGAGGCGGAGCACGATCGTCGGCGATTGCACTGTGAAACTTCGAAGCGGTTCGAAGTAGGCTTCGCTCGACCACGGCAGGCGGTCAGCAACCGGTGTGAGAGTTGCGCCGGCGACGCGCTCACCCCGTCTCCGCCGATGGTGAGTTCTCGGAGTGTCACCGGTATTTCACCGGCTGCAACATCTAAGCGGTAGGAAGGCCTCGCTATGGCGTCGGTATCAAGCCGGCATCGTATCGAGCTCGCACTGCGCACCGGCCGCCGTGGCGAGCTCTGCGAGCTATACATGCAATGCATGCGAGTAACGGGAACAGCGACTGCGAACCGTCTCATTCGTTTAAGTCTATCGCTCCGTAGCGTAAACTGCGTGGATAGCGGACACCTATTTCTGTGCATGGGAAAAACAACGAGACGTAAACTGCACATCAGCAAGCATTTTGTGATCGCCAGCTGTCATTCATCGAATCACCGTGCCGTACTCGTGAATGAGGCCTAGTCGTCGAACGCGGTAGCGGCGGTCTACCTCGATTCATCGCTGGAGCTGCTGAATGTGCCTCGTTAATGTGTTCATTCAAGGCCGCGCGGGCTTTGTGTATGATTCAGTGCGTTTTACGGATCCACAAACAGTACTGCTAATGCAAATTCAGCTCGTACGACAGAGCGCCAACTGATAAAACTTTTTTCGCTACAGTAAAAAATATTGAATATTAGGCAGGATTAGGATAAAAGGCATGTGTGTTGAAGTGCTTACATTAGACCACCGCAAGTTCATACTTACGCCGTGCGTATTTATTCCTTAATTATTAGAAAAAAAAGGCTTTCACTTAGGCTACATGGGAGGTCAGAATGTGGTGCCTATATATACCCGGTGACTATATGGTAGGTGTGCACTGCGTGTGGCAAGCTGTGGTGAGTGCGAGTGTTGTAATATTACGTGAACGTTGTGAGAATGTTTGTGTACTGTAATCATTATTGTGCGCATTAAATGTAATTCAATTAAAATTACGCTTGCACATGGAACGGCTGCTGACGTAATTTTTTTCTCAGTCGATGCAAAAAATTGACTCCCATACTGACCTGAAAAAGTTCCCCAATGGATGTAAATAAAAACCCCACTGGCACCATGCAAAAACCCCTTACTGATTGGGAGTAAATTTTTTACTCCCTCCGGACGGTGTTTATAAAACTCCCATCGGGGCGTGCGCTAGAGGACAAGGTCATTTACTCCCATCTCGGATTATTTCTGTTTACAGTGTGTATATATATATATATATATATATATATATATATATATATATATATATATATATATATATATATATATATGGAAAGCAAGTTGTGCGCGCACTTCCAACAAGTCTAACCTATTCCAACAACTGCATTACCAGGCACCACAATATTTGTTTTAGATTTCTCGACACCAGTACTGTCATTTAGAGCAACGTTCCTTTTTTTCAATGCGTGTCAGTATTCTTTTTAGACAGTGCTGTGTTCAGGTAAAAGTTTTTTTTGTTCCTTCTCTTCTATTGCACGCATACTACATTTCCACAAACGTGCCACGCACTTACTGCGACTCAATAGAGCGCTGCATGTGGGCAGACACCAGAGCTTACCTGTTCATGCCACAGGCAGGAAAATGCAAAAGTCGGAGTTTGTTTTGTGGTTGACGAAAACGTACACTTGCAAATTAAAATACAATGCGAAACAACTGAATTGACGTTTCGGCACCCAGTACGGTTGCTTTGTTCACAATGCACGAATCTATGGCAGTCTTTAGTATATAAACTGGACCCAGTAAGCGCCGAAACGTGAATTTCATTGTTTTGTGTTCTATATTTTATATAGCTTGCGAGTGCACGTTTTATTCAACATCGATTTTCCTTCACCAGGCGAGTTTTGGTCAGACCCCAGTGTTCAGTTTGTTTCGTGATCTAAACATATGACTATACACCAGCATGGGTCGACAAAAAGCGAATCAGGATAAACCTGCAACTGCATAGAAACTGCTGACCATCTCTTGTGCCACTGTCCCCTAAGTGAAAAAGATCGCCGGACTCTGCAGAGTTAGTTTAGGAGTCTCGATGATCGGCCTTTTACTCAAGAAAACATTTCGGGAGCAAAGTCTTACAGAACATCAGTGCAGAAAGCCACGCGAACATTCGTGGATTACTTGAAGGCAACATCATTAATCGACCATCTGTGAAACCCGTGCACCTTTGTGCGGAGTGCAACGTGTCTCTCCTTCTCTTTCATTGCAATCTAGGAACTGTAGCTCATGAATTCGGAGAGATTATCCACATTGAACGAAGCTTCCGGCCGACCCTATAGTTTCAATATATTAATCCCGAAATCGGGCGAAGAAATGCTTGGGTGTCCAAGTTTTGTGCCACGCGGAAGTGACCAGCGTTTTTATAAGGATGTAACGGGTACAACGGTCTATTTAACGTCAAACTTTGATAAAGTATATGTTAAAACATGACGCAGCCTGAGATTTCATTCCAAGAGGATTTTCATGCCAAACAGTGATGTGTTAATGTAAATTAGTATATCAAGAAAGTTTCTGTGATTTAGTCTATTACGCATTTTAACTTTTGTTTCTCCGAGTAATATCTACCGCGTGGAGCAGTCGTGCACAAAAACTGCGATTAGCTTTCTGACACGCGTCATTGAGAGAAAACTTTTCTGTTCAAAAAAGAAAAAAAAAGCATATATACTAATTTATCGGCCCGCTGTGTGCGTTCTGGATTAGAGACTACTGGCCTGCCTTTGTCCGCAGAAAGCCATACGTGCTTTTCTCAGCGTGCCGTTGCCGTGCGTATATTGTAGCCTGTCTAATGCGCCTGATGCCTTTTGCTGGGAACAAGCGCCTACTCTTCCCCATCAGCGCAGTCAAGTGTGTTACCTACGAGATAACATCGTTCGAGTGTTGCTCACTACTCTGCAACAGCACTCTCGACCTTGCCCGACAGGCCTTTTACTTCACTTCTTGAGCTTTAAAACCATTTACTTAAGAGAACCGTAATTAGTGCAGCCTGCCTCGCCGCGGTGGTCTAGTGGCTAAGGTACTCGGCTGCTGACCCGGAGGTCGCGGGTTCGAATCCCGGCTGCGGCGGCTGCATTTCCGATGGAAGCGGCAATGTCGTAGGCCCGTGTGCTCAGATTTGGGTGCACGTTAAAGAACCCCAGCTCGTCGAAATTTCCCGAGCCCTCCACTACGGCGTCTCTCATAATCAAATGGTGGTTTTGGGACGTTAAACCCCACATATCAATCAATCAATTAGTGCAGCCTATCCAGTGTGGCCTATCACCGGTCCACTAAAAATGAAGAAGAGAACAGCTCGCCCCACTAATGGACATGTGCCGCAGAAATTTGTGCGGTTTTTTTAGAAGACTTATGACATCATCACAAATGGGTGTGCCGCAGAACATACGCGGCGTGAATGTCACTGTCTGTGGTTTAACTTGAACCGTTCTGCATGCGCTAAAAATCAACGTAACAACAACCTGTAGTCGGCGACAGCCTTAGAATCAATATTAGCTTTGCCCTCAACGCCGCATTGCGCTTATTTTTCATACTTCCGGCATTTTCCTACTTCACGCTGTGGAAACGAAGGAACGTGATAAAGCGCTGCAGAACACTCCGAGCTGCGGGCTGCCGCTTCGGTGCACGTCGAACGGGGCAAAATCACAAATTTCAACTGCATCGAACGACGACCAGCGAGGATGATGCTGTGCACGTTTGGATAAGAGTTGAATTCTTTATTGATTCGTCTTAACCATTACGTCATAGAGAAGGTCAGCTTTAGTTGGACGTGCGTAACACAAATAAAAAAGTGGTACACTCTACTTTTTTTTATTCTTAGCTTGTTACCGACTGTAGCATCGCCTAGCTGAGGCCTAGAAACAACTTTGAAACATCCCTCATCACCTAGCCAAGGCCTAGAAACAGTGTAGAGGCAAATACGTAAGTCTTCAGAATCGTCCAATTTCGGTGTGTCAAGCCTTGCTCAGCTCAATGCGTGCTTCACCATATTTCTTTGTTTTTTTATGCCTACGATACAGATAAGCTCTTCCGTAGCCTTGGCGTTCTCGTTTTGACCAAGCGAATATCGAATATACTTTAGATACAAGAACAGTTGCAAACATTAGCCTACTCGCCGATTCATGCTGGTCACGTGACAATCGGGAAGTATTGAGCAGCCGAGAGGTTTCTGTCAGCGATGCAGAGAAACGACTTTCGTGATAGCCTCCGGGCACTCATGCATCGCTAAGACTTTCTTGCACAGCTCAGTTGCAATGAAAGGCCAATCGGCCGGTCATGCCAACGTGCCCCATACAAATGACAGAACAAGCATCTTTATTGAATCGGCAGTCCATTAACACTGAGCACTACCATGAGCAGTCAACGTCACCCGCGACAGAGAACAGGCCGATTGCGAAGAGCTGTGTCGTTTCCTCTCATTGTTGCTTTATTCATTGCCAGCGCAAAGGAACGGCAGTTAATTAGGAATTCGGAAGCTAATATATGGATGGCGAGACCAAACAAGCTCGCCGTCATGCGGAATCACCTGGCCTCGTAGCGCCTTTCCTCATACAGAAAAAAAAACGCGTTGTCCGTGACGTTGTACGCAAGTGCATTGGAGAGAGAGAAGGAAAAAAAAGAACGCGTGTTTTCTCTGCTGCGGGCACGTGGCGCATCCCATAACTTGTCACACGCTTATTGCGGAATCCCCCTCTCCAGCTTTCTCTCTCCCACACTCGCCCCATCCTTTATGGCCCCTCAACCCCGCACCTCATGTTCAAACCAACGTGGCCATTCCGTGGGAAAACGTTTGCAGTATAAGCGTCTGACTGCTTTGCGCATCCCCACTTCACATCCAGGTCTGCCATCTCACTCCCGCACACCGACACATTCCTCCTCCGCGACGGCTACATTCTTGGAAGAGGATAAGAACAGGGGCGCGTCTCCGGCGAGCGGGACTCAGAGCTGATCCGGGCCGCGCAGACGTCGACACCGTTTTTGGGAACGCGCTCGGCCGCCCGCTTGCCTGCCGCCGAACGGGGCCAGTGTTGCCGCCGACGGCACCATGGACAACCTCACCGCCGCGACGGTGGCCGACTTCGAGTCGGCAGAAGCGACTTTCTTTCGCCGCGATCCGCGCACCGTCGGCTGGGCCCTGGTGGGAAGCAAGCAGTTCATCGTACTGCTTCTGGCAGCCTACGTCTACATCGTCAAGGTCGGCGGGCCACGGTTCATGAAAGACCGCAAGCCGTACGACGGTGTCAAGCCCCTGATAGTGGTCTACAATGCGACCATGGTGCTCCTCAACTGCTACTTCGTGGTGGCGTTCCTATCCAAGACGTACCTTGGTGGTGGATACAGCCTCTTGTGCCAGGGTATCGACTTCGAGGCTCGCGACGAGATGACCATGAGCATGCTGTCTCACGTGTGGTGGTACGTTATGGTGAGGATCGCCGACTTCCTGGACACCATCTTCTTCGTGCTGCGAAAGAAAGACTCGCACATATCCGTCCTTCACGTCGTGCATCACATCCTAGTGGTCTTCAACGGCTGGTTCGGTCTCGCGTACGGCGCAGATGGCCACGTCGCCTTCGGCATCATCTTCAACAGCTTCGTGCACGTGGTCATGTACTCCTACTACTTCCTTTCTCTGATGGGACCCTCGGTGCAGAAGTACCTTTGGTGGAAACGCTACCTCACCCAGTTCCAGCTGGCTCAGTTTGTAATATTGTTTTTTCACATGACTATACCGCTGTTCATCGACTGCGGTTACCCTTTGGCGCAGATGGTCATTACACTGCCGCAGGGAGTGTTCTTTTTCGTCATGTTCATGAACTTTTACATCAAAAGTTACTCCAACCGAAAGAGGCCCGCTCATCGCGCTGAATCCAAGAGCAAAGCTCAGTGAGTACCGCCCATCTAGGACTTTAAAAAGTAGCGCACGCAGGTGTAACGGAGTCCCGATTTCGTTCATGGGAATGGAGTACGTAGTTTGTCCCACCGACATTTTAAGTAAATAAAAAGAAAGGCCTCAGACAGTTAAGCCAATGTGTTTGGTTTTGATCGCAAGAATTTCGCCACAGCTGCGAACACTTGTATGCAAAGAAGGTAATGCCTTTTTATTCATTAGTACGTCTCTGTTTATTAAGTAAATGAAGCATGGTTAGACTTGACTGACGTCCGGCGGTCGTAGTCACAATAAAACGTTTTACGTAACTTTCATTCCCACCCGTAGGTCACGGCTATAGAGCCAACTAGGATAGTATCACTTGAGAGAGCTAACAGCCTGGTTGGATATAGTGACTCTCATTGGAATAGATTTTCCAGTCACTCTGCTAAGGCACCTGCTGATGTGCGCATTCGATTCCAAACTATGTCATATTACCTCTAGCCAAATGATAACGTGATTTACCAGCAGTTATGCGACGGCTGTATACTTCACGACGTGGCCTTGGTCTTTCGGAGACACGTTGCTGCATTGACTGTGCGAAAAGAGTGAAACACTTTGGGCATCACTTCAAATCGGCGAGACGATGATGATAGTGATAAACGATGCTCATCCGAGCCGCTGTCGGCTGCTAAGCGGTGATGAAGATATTTGGTCCTGCTTTGCCCATGATGGGGCAGCTCTCTGTGTATATAGAATGATTGTAAATAAATCGAATTTTCGTTTACCGTGAAGATTTTTCGTGTTCGTGGTGTTTCGACTGCGTGTCACAACCACTGCTTGGGCTGTTACATATGCACCCCCCCCCCCTTTTATTCTTCTTTTTTTCTTTTTACCCATGGCTGTGAAGTTTGCATAGAAACATCATCACGTGGTAGTTTGTATACGACTACCAGGCGTCGAACCAGCACTTTGAGGGTACGGCACCTGTTCCTCGGGACAAAGCAGCGTAACCGTTGTCGTAAAACACTCGTGACAGAGGGCGGTATGACGGTGTTACTTCGGTGGAGCTTCGCGAGTCCTCGCCTACTGAGGCTTCGTCACGTACGCTTATGACGTTGCAAAGAATTCGGCACAGCGGGCGCACCCTTCCCGCGTCTCAGCGACGCAGCGCGATGCTCGACCCGTTTCTGTGTCAAGTTCACACGGCCTTGCCTCACCGACCCACTTATGTAAGCGCATCGGGCGCCGCAGCCGGTCTGCCTGGCCGGGCCACCCTGTCTCCGTGTGCTCTCTACGGGGAAGCACTCTTGCGCAATGGGCGATTCATCTGTCTTCCAAGGCTTCTCCTAAACCCACAATGCCGTTCGCTGGCATTGTGCGATGACTGCGATGCCTCCGGCCGCAGTAACTGAAACCTATTCAACAACAAAGCTATCCGCTGCGTTGAGCCTTGCCCGGCGTGATTTAAATTGCGCTTGTCCCGAAAGCGATGCTTTTTGTGCGTCGTTCCAGTTCTTCTGCTGGTTAAACCGAGTATCAAGTTTTTACTCAGCGGAGTTAGATAGGTACAGGGTAAGGTGCCCTTCCGCCTGATTATGCAAGACTACAGCCTCTCAAGTTCTTTAGTTCCATACGTAAAGCACAGAAAAAAGACAACTTTGTATTCGTTAGCGTATATTTTAGCAGTGACGCAAAGTGGGACAGAGTATAAATAGAACACGGTGAACTTATTTGCCACAGTAGCAACATATTCCACCGATCAGTTCGGTGGCATCGGATCCCCAGTGCGTTGCGTTGAGAGACCGTTGGGTTGGGCAAGGACGAACGCATCTTTACTTGAATAATACAGTGGTATGTGATATGTGTTTCGCTGCACAGTTGAGTATATCGGAAGCTGCAAAGATGATATACAAATCAACCTTATTTCCCGTTCTCGCTTGACCGACGAAAGATGTTGCATAACTTGGCTGGACGTGTTGAATTTTATATAAAATTTGAGGGTTCTTCAAGATAAAACAAATTTGCTAACATTACGGTAACGTTTTCAAAGTTACTGAAAAATTTTTTTAATTGATCCGCATTTAAAGTGGTGAATTTTATATGAAATCTGAGTATTCTTCAAGACAAAACAAATTTAATAACATTACGGTAACGTTTTCAAAGATACTGAGAAAAATTTTAAATGGTTCGCATTTAAAACTTAGCACAGCTACAGGTGAACTCTCTCTTCGTGTTTTACAACGCGAAGGATGCCATTAAAAGAAAGAAAGAAAGAAAGAAAAGATAAGAAAAGAAATAGAGAAATTTCGCAGACGTGAGAAGTAGAGTTGGGCAAGATGTCGCTATTCAGCAAAGTCTTTTTTTTTAAGAATTAATTAGCTACCGTTTCGAATTAAACTGAGGCACGTGTAAAATGGCGCAAGCATTGGTCACTCTAGCGCGTCTGTTCGCAGACGCGGCCGTCGATCAGTATTTGCGACACGTCCTCGTGCGGTTGCTAAATGCTTGTGACGACGTGGAAAAAAACTTTTCAGTAAATCCTCCGAGGATCACGATCGTTCGGTGATTGCTTTCCTGCGCGCCGTCCACGTTCCTTGTCAATCGAATACGTGTATACGTGCAGACTTCCTCGTCTTCCCGCGTAAACATGTCATTCACCATTGCATTGTTTCCCGCCATTTCCTTCTGTGCTGTGATTATGCATGCTGCGACGCAGAGCATCGTTTCCTCCCCTCAACAAATAATGGCTGGCAATGAATGTAAGTGAATGTGTGCGGATTGCGAGGAGAGAAAGCAACTGCTAAGTTCGTTTTGATGAAATGATGTTTTTGTTAAAGGGACCTGAGAATGAATGAATGAATGAATGAATGAACGAATGAATGAATGAATGAATGAGCTTTATTTAAAGTCCGGCAGTTTTGCAGGGCGAGGTGGGAGAAGAGGGGATTAACCCCTGTCCCTTCCCACACTCCGCAAAGGGACATGAAAGAAAAAAAAATTTAACGAAGCAAGCATGTCATGCCAGGAATGATCTCAACCTCTCCTATACATTATGCACAGTACAGTATACATTATGCACAGAACAGTACAGCGAATTCGCCTGTTCAACGAAGCAATTCATATGTTCTGAATCGCTGAATGGTTGAATCGCGCTGCACACGCAATCCTGCACAATTGGTGCGCAAGATTGATCCGCGCTAACTTTTAAGAACTAGATGAATAAAAAGGGTTCGTAAAATTTGATGGTAAAATTGCAAGATCCTCCCTTTTCTGTGGTTCGAAGTTGATTTGGCGTGATATGCATGTATCTATCTCTCCTCGCTCCCTGTTTGCGCACCGCAGCAGTCCGTGGAAACCAGTGGCACCTAGTAGGTAATGGTTGCGCATTCAGTAAGTCATATCACTCTGCAGGAGAAAATTGATAAGATTGAATAAAATAAGCATTTTTCTTCTTAGAAAATTTATCAGCGTCGTTGGGGTCATTACAGTGTATGATGCATGTAACAAAGAAACATGGATAATAAAGAAATATAATAAAGAAATACCGTCGTCCTACTCAACTCTTTATACAGGTGTTCTAAAGCACGAAAATCAAAAAGAAGTGGCCTGAGCTATACTCTTCTGATCAAGTTCACCAGCACCCCCCACCCCCACCCTACCCTCACATAGTCCTTTTTCGCTACAGCTGCAAAACGCTTGATTGGACTAGCGAATGGAGGCACACGGATCATAGGTGTCATGTGAACGGTTACAAAGCACCAGCACTGTGGAGGAAAATTTCCGAAAAGAAACTGTGATACGCAGCGTATACATTATTATCGCGCGGACATTTGGGTTTTTACTTGGCAACAGATATCGTGATACGTGATTCTATTTGATATTTTAAATTGTTGTTGGGATTTTATTTTATAACGCAAGGAGCTAACCATTGTTCAATGGAGAAGTGGTTTGATAGCTCTAAATCAAAGGATTCAGTAATTTATGAGGTTGATCATCACAGAAATTTTTTCATAGTGACATATCTCCCCCGACATTTAGAGACATTAATCCACAGACTTCAATAGGAAGTAGCATACACAGCTTTCTGCACAAGGTACATCGATTCAACTCCCCGGAATGCCATTGTGGTCCCGCAGAAGAAAATGTTCGCCATATTCTTTTGGAGTGCGTTAAATACGCGAATGAAAGAGAAAAATTAAGGAACACATTAGCGAGTTTGGACAGACGGCCCCTCACATTAAAGAAATTACTTGGACCATGGCCTGAGATGCATCTTCAGAAAAAGGCGAACATCTTCCTGGCATACTTTTTAGGGGAGACCTGGCTTGATAAGCACGTGCGATAGACAGCCAGGGATTTATATATATTAAATGTGTTAGTGCATATACTGACAGTAGAAAAAGAAGGTGTGTGTGTGTGTAAACAGTTTATGACAGTGTGAACTGCTGCTAAAAAACTGCGTATTGGCATGATATTTGAACTGGTTTCAGTGCATGTGCTATTAAGTTTCTTATTGTTCGTTTTTGGGTTCCCTTCAATATTATTCTTTTTTTTTCGCTGCAGAACTTCTTGATATGGAGTAGCCGAGGCAATATGGACCTCAACCTCTCCAGAGCAAAAACAGTTAGTTAGAACAGAACGTCTTAACACCACGATACGATTAAGAGAGACGCTGCAGTGAAAGTGTCCAGAAATTTTGACCAGCTGAGGTGCGTTAACGTACTCCTAAATATAAATGCACGGGCCTTCAGCAATTCGGCTCCGTGGAAATGCAGCTGCCATGGCTGGGATTCAGTCCCACGACCTTTCAGTCAGCAGTTGAGGTCCGTAACAAGTAGACCACCATGGTGAGTTTATTGTATGATTATTGCAGGTGATGGTGAAGACGTGCTTATTGGGTGAGTTCAGAGCACATGTATTCCCGCTGTCTTGATGAATCTCGATCGGTTTCACCATATTTGATTGGATAACAATCCTACGGGCTAAGTCATCGGTGGCCACATTTTCGGATCTGCCAGATTAAGCACCCGAACGAGTTCAATTAGCCTATCGAAATGTATCGCACGCATTCTGAATATTTGCAGCACGGGAGGATGGACGGAACCGTGGGTAAAGTTATGAATGACTGTATTTGAATAACTGACTAAGTGAGTGAGATTAGTTTAGGCGATGGCCGTAATGCCAGGGCCGTGCGGTGCTCCAGGGCCCTTCAGTGATCCGAAGTCGCTCGAACAGTAAGGTTCTTTTTTCCTTTATCAGAGAAATGAAACACTCAAATGTCCAGTGCACGAGCATTTATTGCCACACGGAAAATACACGATATGAGCATTATCTCATCACCAATTTTCCTTCGTGGTTCTCCAGTCTCTATATAGAAAAATAAGAGTGCATCGTTCGCAGGCATGTTCACTGCACTTCGCAATATTTCTTTGCTTTGTGTGAAAGTGAATCACGTTGCGGGGTATGTGATTATATGTGTCTTCACTCGTATGCCCACAGCGTCAAGGCAAGCGAGCGCATTTAACGCTGGGAAAAAGCCGTGGAGTCATATACCATGCGGCATAGTCAAGCGGCTTCGAACGCACGGGCAATAAGGAAACCTTGTGACGGAGGCTGTAGCGAAATGGTGGGAAATGGTGGGGAACTGTCACCGAAGAAACGTTGGCACCAAGCCACAGGGCGTTTCGAAAGACCGTGACCGATAACGTCGATCATTGATCTAAAATTGAGATATTGGCGACTAACGGCGCGTGGAGCAAACGGAATGCTTTTAAACTGTGAGCGCATC